ATCCCTGCTCACCCATGTTTGTCAACGAGCCAGGAAAAGATGAGAAAGCAATGGCTACAGCGGATCCTGAGCACCCAGAAACGGCCACTGGAAAAGGCTGGGAAGAAAAATCCCCTCCCACCCCGTGTTTGGGGAGGCATGGGCAGAAGTTACACATTGCCACCCCAGAGGCAGCTGATTTGGCATCCGTGTCTGCCTCGCTTCATACTAAAGATAACCTTGAAAAGGCAGAAGAGATTCCCAATCCGCGTGAACCCTTAAAATTCCTGTTTAAATGTCTTGAAGGAGGAAGTAAAACTGAACTTTTTCAAAAGGTCCAAGGCGAAAGGATGCTCCTGGTGATGGTACCTGTTGTGAGGTGGGAGCGAGCCTGCCCTCCTGGCACCAGCAGCAGGCACAGAAACTCTTGCAGCTCCAAACAACATATGCCATGTCCATGAGCTCCCATGGTCTCCTGGCCTCGTGCCTCAAAAGCAGGAACTGGAGCAGGAACCTGGCTGTCTCAGCAGGTGCAACCTACTGAACGGGCTCGGGATCACAGAATCACAGAATCTTCTAGGTTGGAAGGGACCTTAAAGATCATCTTGTCCAACCGTCAACCTAACTGACAAAAATAGACACCCACACAACAAACAAGGAGCATCATCACTAAACCAGACCTCCCAGCACTACATCAACCCGTCTTTTGAACACCTCCAGGGATGGGGCCTCAACCACCTCCCTGGGCAGCCCATTCCAATGCCTGAGAACCCTTTCAGTGAAAAAATTTTTCCTAATATCCAACCTGCCATCACCGAGAGATGCTCTTGGCGCAAAGGGAAGGACTCACACGTGTGGCTGCCCTGCTTCCCTCCTCACAGTGCTGGGCTAAGCCGGACAAGTTAATGTGGGTGAAAAATAAAACCAGCTCTGTACTCATCAAATCTCTTGGTGGGTAACCCCTAGGCAACCGGTGCTCCACCACAGGAATGTCAGGTCCTCCCGTGCCAGCACAATAATACAGGGACTGTTCCTGAAGGCGGGGGGAAGTTTGTTTTTACAACTTTGCACAGTCTTTCAGCCGCACAGCATCTGGTTCAGGCACTGCCCTTTGAATGGCTTTTCTGTTGGTGCAGTAATTAAAGGTATCCCAGGCGACACCTGATCCCTTATCAAGTTCATTAATTTAAGTGGAGTTATTTGGCTCTCTATTTTCTATACTTCATAACGTATTTCTAACCTTTAAAGTGACATAGGCAAGCACCAGATTGCAGGGGCGCTTATTAACAGCCTATTAAAATATTTTATGGCCTTGATTTTTACTTGGCCACGGGGAACCAAGGATTGTGCTGTTGTTGAGCAGGCTGGGGATTTATGTTACGAGAGCTTGGCCACGGCCTAGCGGGGAGCAGGGCTTGGAAATGAACGGGGAGAACAAACTCTCATTCAGCTCCCTGCGTGCCATAAAGCTGGAGCCGTGGAGCGGGGACAGCAGCAGGAGGTCCTCCAGTGTGGGTTTGGTGGTTTGGTGGTTCCTACCATACCCACCGGTGAGACAAGACTCAAGGCTCTGAGACCACGCCGAGAGCCAGCAAAGGCGCACGCATCTTGAGCAACAAGATCTGGGTGTCGTTCCACCAACCCAATAGACAGAATCACAGAATCTTCTAGGTTGGAAGGGACCTTAAAGATCATTTTGTCCAACCGTCAACCTAACTGACAAAAATAGACACCCACACAACAAGACGGGTGGAGAGAAGCTGGGGAAGGACCTTCCTGCTCTCCTGTGAAACCACGGTGGCTGGGGCTTTTTGGTCCAGAGCTGCTGTATCATAGCCACATTTTGCAACTGACTTAGAGACAATTCTTCTTTGGGAGAAGACCACGATCTTACCGAGATGAAGACTATGATTTTCACCTAGAAGACCTAAGAGTTTTCCAGCCCCTTGCATCCCTAGGAAAGCTCCCTCAAGGGTGAATGCCCTTCTCTGTTAAAAACCTCCACCTTCTCCTAACTTAAGATATTGAGGCAACACATGCCTTGGATTTAGAGACTTGACTTTGTCCTGCACAGAAATTCAGAAATTCCAGTCAAGCCTCTTCTGAAATTCCTGTTTTGATGAACTTCCTTGGGTGAGCTTGGGGTCTTCCCGAGCTTATGCTACATTTCTCTTATTTTTTCAAGCATAAAAAAATCATTTCTAATGAAGCAACATGTTTGGAAGGGTATCAGCAACATAGTTACAAGTATTTTAATTGCTCGTGTTTTCAAAACTTTTTAATGAAGTCAAATCAGGAATAGACACTCATCTGCCAAAGAATCTATAAAATATTTTACAATGACATTATAATTGATGTAACCGGTTGTATAAATTCCTGGCATTTCAAACAAAGATACTAGAGATTAGCACAAGGAAGATTATTCAACTGGCAATTATTATTTATGCTTTAATTATAAGGGCTTTGTTGCTCCCCCCCCCCCCCCCCCCCCCCCCCCAGGGCTCCCAGGCCGCTCCACGGAGCGGGCAACCAAAATGTCATACTGCAAGGCTTTCTAGACAGATTTTGTGTGGGTAACCTTAAAAAGACTGTTCTCAGCAAGCAATCCCATAGCACTGATGCATGATGAGGAGTTATATTAATAAGTGTTATTAAATGTACCACTCCTTTAACGCCTCATCCAAGACTGAGGGAAAGACTATCACGCTGGTATCAGTCCTGGACATCCAGGTGGTGTTCCTCAAGGGTCCGTGCTGGGGCCGGTGCTGTTTAACATTTTTATCAATGATATAGACAGGGAGATTAAAGGCACCATCAGCAAGTTTGCAGACGATACCAAGCTGTGTGGTGTTGTGGATACACCAGAGGGATGGGATGTCATCCAAAAGGACCTGGACAGGCTGGAGAGGTGGGCCCAGGTGAACCTCATGAGGTTCAACAAGAGCAAATGCAAGGTTCTGCACCTGGGCTGGAACAATCCTCACCATCAGTACAGGCTAGGGGGTGAGGGATTAGAGAGCAGCCCTGAGGAAAGGGACTTGGGGGTGCTGGTGGAGGAGAAGCTGGACATGAGCAGGCAGTGGGCAGCTGCAGCCCAGAAGGCCAATCCCATCCTGGGCTGCATCAAAAGAAGTGTTGCCAGCAGGTCCAGAGAGGGGATTCTGCCACTTTACTCTGCTCTGGTGAGACCTCACCTGGAGTATTGTGTGCAGGTCTGGAGCCCTCAGTATAAGAAGGACATGGACCTGATGGAGAGGGTCCAGAGGAGGGCCACGAGGATGATCAGGGGGTTGGAGCACCTCTGCTCCAAGGACAGGCTGAGGGAGCTGGGGTTGTTCAGCCTGGAGAAGAGGAGGCTCCGGGGAGACCTAATAGCGGCCTTCCAGTACCTGAGGGGGCTACAGGAAGGCTGGGGAGAACCTGTTTACAAAGGCCTGCAGTGACAGGATGAGGGGCAATGGCTTCAAGCTGGAGGGGAACAGATTTAGACTGGAGATGAGGAGAGGGTTCTTCACTGGGAGGGTGGTGGAGCACTGGAACAGGTTGCCCAGGGAGGTGGTTGAGGCCCCATCCCTGGAGATATTCAAGGAGAGGCTTGACGAGGCCCTGGGCAACCTGGTCTAGTTGGGGGTGTCCCTGCTGATTGCGGGGAGGTCGGACTAGATGACCTTTGGAGGTCCCTTCCGGCCTGGACAACTCTATGACTCTATGACTCTATGATTCTAGGAGGGACTGCTCCTCCAATTTCATCTTAGAGTTGAGCAATGGCAGGAGAACCACAGTGGCACACGGCAGAGCAGCCTGCCTTCCACCTGGGTAGGGACAGACCCTGCAGGTTGCCAAGCTCACACGTCTCCTACAGTTGTACGGGCTCCGATCCCCTTTCCTCCCAGCCCTCAAAGAAGAAGCTGCACCTAAAAAACCTGAAACTTCTCCCAAAGGACCACGCCAGGACGTGGCATGTCAGCAGCATCGCAAGTCTTGCCTGCTGGGGAAGTTTTAAGGGGGGACTGACCTGGTTTAAATTAAAGCTGCATTGGCAAGAGAGGCCTGGCAGTAAGAGCAATAACCTTTCTGAGAACTGCCTTGCAACTGTGCAATTAGTCATCTCCTAACGAACTCCCCACACACCTCCTCTCCTGCTCCCACCACGGAAAAGATGGGAGGAACCAACTTCCAGCTGCATCCCACGACTACTCCCCATTCCTGGACAGGCAGTAAAGTGCTGAGTCCCAACAATTTCCTCCTCCTGAAGTTCATTAGATGGTTCTACTAATTAGCAGGCTCCCCATTTTATCGTGCACTGCACCTGAAATCCCACTTGTATTTCTGAAGCGAGTAATTAAAGCCAGAGGTATTTGAAAAAAACAGGTAGTGATGGAGATGAATATTCTATCCATATAGTGAAGCAGCTTGCTAGAGAGTAAGATGCCCAGGTTCAGATGTTAACAGAGTCCAAGGGCAAAACATGCCTTTTTTGGCAAACACATCCTCTGATGTGGGCACCCCCAGATAAACCGCCGGTAACTTTGCTGAAACTAATCCGATTCTGGGGAGAATTTGGGTCATTAAATCTGTCAGGGGGCCAAAACAAACAGGGAAGAAGTAAGACTGCCACTGTCGGAGCACAGGAAAACAGTAATGATCAACAGTTTCAACACCTTCCCTGTAGAGACCGCAATAATTAGCCAGTAATTATCAGGCATGATTTCCTTTTACAGGGAGGGACCAGGAGGTTACCCGCTTCAAGGGCAGCAAATGCAACTTTGCTTCTTTCAGGCAAAATTGAATGGGAAATGCCACCACCAGCAGCCAAATCCCAATAAAGACAGTGTTTCGTTATCGCCCATTTGCTGGTAACTATTAGAAACCACTCTGCAGTGCCATAACCCAACATTTTGCTCCCCGGTTATTACTGCTGCTGGAAAAGTGGGTTCCTCTGTACCTTAGAGAGGAACAGGGGCCACAAACAGCAAAAGACAGAAACAGGCAGAGAGAGAGAAAGAAACCCAAGCACTTACTTGATGTTGTCAAGACATCCAGATTCGGGTTTCAGTATGGCAGTGTGATGAAACATTTTATAGAGAGCAATCCCAAGGAAGATGACATTAAGCTGCAAGGGGGGAGAAAGGAAAAAAAAAAAAGCGGGTTATGTGAGATGGCACAACGTGATGGGGAGAAAGTCAACTTCTTCTCTGTTACAGATGGAAGGGAGCTCTGGCAACTGGATCACAGACCATTGCCAAACATCTTATAAGGTGAGGTGGCCTCTATGCTGCAGGACAGGTGATGCCACAGCACTACCAAAGCTGGGGCACCGTGTACGTCACTGATATGGGGCTGGTCCCACCATCAACTGCAGTGCTTCAAATGACAGTATGGAAAATTAAAAATACTTGCTGCAATGGCTCTTTGGTGTCCGAGAGGTGTAACAGTCACAAAAAGTCATTCCAGGCGTCTTGCTTAGCTGGCCCCACAGTAACGAGGCAAAAAAGCACCTTTTTTCTGCGAATATAGCTTTTAAATATGATGTAATGGGGGGAGATGAGCAGGGAAATGACGACTGCAGAAGATGCTTAGCATAATGCAAAGTTGAAAAGTACCGAGGAGAAAGAGTTTGATTCATTCTGTAAAAGATCCGATGGCCTTTCGATCCTCAGCGTTACCAAGACTGCCAACTCCAGGAAAGGAGTTCTCTCCAAAAGCCCAGGCCGGGGTTTCAGACATAATCAAAAAGGGAAGATATCTTTTTTTATGAATGAATTGCTTAAGGGGAAAAAACCTGACGGTGCAGCCCTCTTCCTGATGTGGGAGGCTGCTGAAATGGCCCCCAGTCGCAGGAGAAGCAGGGACAATATCTGCATTGAAGTGAGAGTGCCTGGTTTGCCGTGTTAGCCAAACTGGAGGCTATTCAAAACAAAGGCTGGTTTATTTAAACCATATTGTAGCAATTAAAGTACGAGAAAACTCCAGCTGCCTCTAAAGTTGGGTTCTCTACCCTGTTGCTGTGTTAGCTGATACGCTGGCAATGTGCTAACCGTGAAGTCACACCAGCTTCAACTTCTGCCGGGGAGGAAAATCCCCCATCAAATCTTTCTTTCAGTTGGGACTTTATTTCATTCCCCCCACCCCATAATTCCTTTTTTTTTTTTTTTTTTGCATTATTGATGCAAAGCTTTGCTCTGGAATTCAAAAGGCATGGGGAAGAGGAGGGGCAAAGGCCGGGGAGAGGAGCACTGTCAGGGGCATCAAAATAGAGTTTGGTACTTCTGAATGTCCAATGGTAGAAACCAAACTCTGCAGGTGCCTGTTCCAAAGCTCCCCGGCCCGTTTTGATCAATTATTTTGCAATGCCAAGAGCCTCTCATAATGAGGGTCTAATTGCTTGTGCCAGGTAGGGTCAAAGAAGAACATGCCTTTCTCAAATTAATCTGTGTAAATTAAAGATAAAGAGTAAAGGGACAGCAAAAGTTTTATTTCTTGACCCGAGAGATGGGGTAGTTAATTAGGAGTTCTTACCATAATTATCAAGGTCGCGGGTCCTATAAAACTCCAAATGAAGTAGGTGTCAAGTCGGAGCCAACATCTGTAATGAAACACAAGGGAGAGAAGGCATTCAAGGACTGCTCCCAGGACATACATCAGGAGTGAGTGAGTGACAGAGAAGAATGTGAGCTGCAAAACACGCCGGTGGGAGACAGGAAATATTACGTTGCTTGTTCATTTAAATGCTGAATTATGTGTCCAATTTCTGACAGCGCTATTGATGGAGTAAGATAATTACCTCTGGAGGAAGCAGGGAGAAAATGGCATAAGGCCTAGCTGCTAAAGCTTTCTGCATCTGTCGGAAAAAAAAAAACCAAACCCTTAAATCTGTGGGGTTTTTTAAGGAAGGAGTCCGATGAGCATCCACGGAGATTTTTCTCTGCTTTAAGCTTCTCTTCCCTCCCCGGCTCTGACACAATGCGAGCTGTCTGTCAGCTGTCAAGCAGGATGACATTTCTCCGGCAAGCAGATCAGAGCAAATTTGGTACAAATAGGAAGCACAATTTGGAATAACAGAAGGCTGAGGTTTAATTAGGTTCAGCAACTTCCTCTTTAGAGGGTTCTATTTCTCTGAACCTCCGGAGTGTTTTGTTTCCACTAATGTTTCAAGGGTTGCATATGGTCTGCACTATCACATGAAGTTGATTCATGGCCTAAAACTAAATTATTAATCGCTTAATTTCAACCACATTTAATACTCCCCACATTTTTTAAGGCCCCTGGGAAATTACATTTCCATTCCTAGCTCATTCCAGGCGACAGGAAGATAAAATGGAAGTGACTGGTTACAAGACAGACGAATATAAATTCCAAGAAAGTTTTGCACGATGTTTAAAATAATAATATCTTGTCGTATTTGCGATGCTGCAAATCACAGCTCCATTTATACATAGAGGACTAAGAAAGCATAAAACCACGCTTATACTAAACATCCAATGGAATTTCATAATTAGGCAAGTGACAGGAACTATATATATGAATTTATTCTGGTGAATGGGAGAGCAGTTCTCATGAATAACAGCTCGAGTGCACATGCTGAATGGTTTTTCCCTTCCAATGGGCTCTGCAACAGACAGAAAGGTCTTTGCCAGTAACCCCATGCAAGAGGTTAGAGGAGCTGCCTGCTGAGAGAATAAAACATGCCCTGAGCCTCTAGGACTGGGAGAAGCCAAGATATGAATAAATTCAAAGACGTACATAAAGCTCCTCACTTCCCTCCCTGACCATATCAATTTCAGGTCTCGCCAACGTGGAAAGATGTTTAGATGTATATATGGCTGCACCACTATTTGTCACAAATTAAAATACCATCACTCACTCCATGAGCATCACTCCTGAGCCGCCTCTGCAGCTGCTCAGCCAGAATCTTCATGTGGCAGCATCAAAATCTTAATGCGAGAGGCAAACAGGAGCTTTCAGAGCGATTGCACGGAAATCTTGTTTCCTCTGCGGCTGCCGAAGTTCAAGGTGATTTAGATGCAGCTGGTAATGGAACAACACGAGTGACTAGAAACTATTTGAGCCTGATTTCCTACAGGAAAGGGTTGATGCGATCATGACATCTGTGTATCTCCCGTAATAACATCTGAAATGTCACACGACTGCAACCAGATTTGACAGAGGAATAGAGGTTTCGAGGATAATGAAGTCCCTGTAAAAAGTCCTCCCGGCCATCCCTGAAAAAAGACATCTGCATAGCAGCACCTCACACATTACACAGTATTTTAGATAGACCTACCCTATTCCACAAGCAAAAAAGTGTAACTAGTGCTTATGCCTCAGACACCACATATAAATCAGGGAATATGCAGCCCCACCACTTTTTTTTCTACTGACAATAAGAACGCTGGTGTGTAGGAGAGGACTCAGAGGGCTGGTTTTGGTTTTTTCTAAATTAAAAAAAAAAAAACAAAACAGTTTAACATTCAAAACATCCCCCAGCCCCGGCTGCACAGGAGACGGGAGCGCAGGGCACTTTAATTGCCAAGCGACTTGGTTTTCCTTCAGCACAAAGGAAAGCCCAGGGAAGAGAAAAGGCATAAACCCTCTCATTACTCCTTAAAAGCATGATGGCCAGCCGTATGGTCATATCTGATGCAGCTGGTTTTGAATGTGTAGAGATTGGGACAGAGGGAAAATCCGTGAAAGCCGAAATACAGCCCTGCCGGGTTGAGCAAAGAAGCAAAAAAAAGCAACTGGTTTCCTTTCCAGCCAGCCAAATGGACGAAATTTTCCACCCTGTTCCCCTAAAAAAAAATAATAAAAAAATCTGTCTCTTTGGTCGTGGAGCACAATTCAGTGAGCAGAGCTGGATGCTGTGGATGGGAAACAGCTGAGTAGCCAGGTCCTGCCCTGGGGAGAAGCGGGGGGGCCAGGCGTGGAGAAAAAGGGTCCCTCTCCAACCAGAGACAGACAGCCTCATCTAAGCAAGGGTACAGCTTGGGAAAACCAGAGAAGGCTTCTTTTTGGGTTTTTTTTTGGGTCTGTCAGCACGCTTTAAAGAATGTGATGTCGCTATTTATTCATTTGAATAGAAAAATGGGCTTTCTATAAAGCCAGGCATGACACTCGGTCGTGGGTGACTAAATAGAAAGCTGCAGGACTGCCTCTAATCCGCAGAGGGACTTTGTGGTCATCAGGAAGAGATGTGACTTCGAACCCCTTTAAGCCATCTCTCATTAAAAATGCAAATAAAGACCAAACCATCCAAACACAGGCATCCCGCCAATTGCGCCGCGGAGCTGGGAATTGCCAGTCAGGCAAGGACAACACGGAGTTCTTCTTCCCTTAGAAGACAAAAAAACCCACACGCACAACGAGCTGCATCAACCAGCTCCTCAAAACAAGGAAGCAGCCAGGCAGGTCGCTTCCCAAAGTTGCTCATCTTGGGCTGTTGGGTTCCTCCTGGCCCCCCCCATGCCCTGGTGTGCTCTGAGCAGAGGACTTGCCCCCTTCCAAGTCCAGACCCTGCTGCTGTTAAGCCAACCAGATGCTCCAGGGCTCGGTGTGAGGCCGGGCAGAGAACCTGAAAGTCCACCTGTGCTGGGAATGCTGTTCCAAACCCTATTCCTTCCTTCAGGAGTCACACCAGTCTATTCAGGTCCTGTGGAGCAGCTTGCCTTTGCTTTTTAATTTTCTTGTTTTCCACAGTGACAAGTCGCTATATTCACCTAAAGCTTTTCCAAGTCATAAAGACTACAAAGAGTTTACTCTATTTTCTGCATGAGGAGAAATCAAATACAAAACCATCCCCGGTGTGCATTAAATATAACCAATAAACAATCATTAGCTGCCATTGGACCATAAAATCTGAAGAGCCCTAAACATATCCCCATGTTCATGGCAGCTCAGCAGTTGGTTTCACGTGGCTGTAGGGGCTCCTTGCCTGGGTGCAGCAATGGGATATGGATGCACAGGACACAGCTTTCAATGTTCTGCCTCTTCCTAGGTTCTGCCTCACGGAGTCCAGCATCCCTGTTGCCCATGCTTTCTCATAGAATCATCTAGGTTGAAAGGGATCTTCAAGATCATCTAGTCTAACCACCAACCTAACTCTGATAAAAAAAAACATCACTAAATCATGTCCCCCATCACCATGTCAACCCATCCTTTGAACATCTCCAGGGATGGTGCCTCAACCACCCCCCTGGGCAGCCCGTTCCAAGGCTTGATAACCATTCCAGTGTCAAAATTTTTCCTAATATCCAACCTGAACCTCCCCTGGCACAACGTGATGCCGTTTCCTCTTGTCCCATCGCCTGTGACTTGGGAGAAGAGACCGACCCCCCCTGGCTACACCCTCCTTTCAGGGAGCTGGAGAGAGCAATAAGGTCTCCCCTCAGCCTCCTTTTCTCCAGGCTGAACACCCCCAGCTCCCTCAGCCTCTCCTCATGAAACTTTTTCTCCAGACCCCTCACCAGCTCCGTTGCCCTTCTCTGGACCCGCTCCAGCCCCTCAATGTCTTTTTTGTGGTGAGGGGCCCAAAACTGGACACAGTAGTCGAGCTGGGGCCTCACCAGGGCCCAGTCCAGGGGGACCATCACCTCCTGAGTCCTACTCCCCACGCTGTTCCTGACACAGGCCAGGATGCTGGTGGCCTTCTTGGCCACCTGGGCACACTGCTGGCTCCTGTTCAGCTGACAGTCCACCAACACCATTCTCCTCCAAATACCCAGCACCGAAAATCAAACAAGTTCAGTGGAGCCACCCAAGACAGACCGTATTATTAGAATCTCTTCTGAGCAACTTTAACATGCATAAAATGTGGTGGACTTGGAGGCTGTGTACATACACTGGGCTTTCCTTTTGCTTTCTGACAGCCTGACTGCTTACCATGTGTATCCTGCTTTATAGGGAGGGAGAGAGGGGGGAGAAAGAACAGAGATATTCCTGTCACAATGAATTTGATCATCAGGGGATGAATATACCTACAAGTACAGTTTCTTAAATATACTGAACCATTCAAAACATAGCCACTTTCCTCTGAGGTTTGTACGAGGCATTGATATGAAACTCAGGACAGTATGGGAATAGGGAATCTTCTCGTCGATTTTGGATGGGCTGCTACTTGAGTGAGTCCTCTCAAAGAGAGGCTGCTAAAGCCTTAATCCAGCTCTTACAGAATTTTAGACACAAGCTATTGTCAAACATTAACAACAACTGCATATGCTATTTTCCCTCTGCATTTTGCAGTGTTGCACACCATGATACTTGATATCAGATATGGCCAGGAGATGGATGGATTTGGTTAACACACAGGACAAGACAAACGAGGTAATTTTCTAAAACTACAATCCCAGTATCTTCTTTGTTGCAGCAAAACTTGAGACGTGGCCATTTAGAATCATAGAATTGTCTAGGCCTGAAGGCACCTCCAAAGGCCATCTAGTCCGACCCCCCCAAAGTCAGCAGGGACACCCCCAACTAGACCAGGTTGCCCAGGGCTTCATCGAGCCTCACCTTGAATATCTCCAGGGCACCTCCCTGGGCAACCTGTTCCAGTGCTCCACCACCCTCATTGCAAAGAACTTTCTTCTCATC